CTCCTACCCTTCTGATTCTCTCCCCATCCACGACAGTGAAAAAACCATGAGTAGAAAATACTATGAATGCTAAGAAGTGACTAGTTGTACTAGTGTGTGTGTGTCTATATATAGTTTTTTCTCTATGTATATCTGACATTGTCTGAAAGTCCTCAGTTAATTTGAAGTTAAAGGGTTATTATATACATCACTGATATTTTAAATCTATCAAATGAATTACAAGGACTTGCTAGAGCAAGACATGCCTGAGATCACAACAAAAAAAGGACTAATTGATTCTGTTTTAACCAAGCAAAAGATGTGTCTTCCATATCTCTCTCAAGTAATAGATGGTACCTCTGAGGAATTCTACATCTCGTACACCTTCCTAAACATTTATCTACAAAAATTGTATAGTTCACTGTGCAAGAAATAAAAATCCACGTAATCAAAAATAGCACTAAATGGTAGGATTTTTGCTTGCATTTAACCTTTTAGAGTGCTGAACTGCATTCTCTAGCGTCCTTAACATACATGACATTCAGGAGATACAGTTTAAAGTCATTTTGAGAAGAAAATCTGTAAATTTAATGAAGTACATTTTTAAGAAATCACAGGCATTTGCTTACCACAGATATTTCTTGTGTAATCTAGAAACACGCAGAACACATAAATATGAGCTTTTGTATCAAGATCAAGATCAAATGATAAGCCTCATTGCCATGAACTGACTGGAACAGGAATAGAAGGTACAAGTCTTACCTGACCTTGATGTGGCTGCAGCTAGGGGCTTAATTTTCTGAACCAAAGTATTGCCTGCTGCGATGTCTACCCCACTGTTTTTGTAAGTCAGGCCTCTGAAAGATTGTTAAAAAAATGTTATGGCAATTGATTACTAAATGCACAAACATATATTTAAAAATAGTATTTACCTCTTTACATCATTGCATCACTAAGAGGATTAACCATTCAGAATCGTATTCTGCTGTCAAGTACAACTATTTTCCTGCTTGTACAGTAACTTTGCTCATATAAAATGATTTCTAAGTATTGCAGTATTCATTTCAGGCAGGCTCAACAGCTCAAAGGTTAATCTTTTTGCTGTTTGGAACCTGACCTCACACATAGATCTGAAGATAGGGAGTATTACACCAAAGAAACATAACTTCATGGATTTGCACTACAGAGAGTTTGCCATATGCAGTATTCAACTAGTTCCAGATATCTTGAAAACAGCATCAGAGCATCAGCATCATACGCTATCCAGTCAAATACCAAGATAAAAAGCAACCAAAAAAGAAAATCCAACAACAAGGTAAAATAGGTGGAATAATGGATCTGATTTTGCAAGGTTTGAATACCTGGTCTGGATACTGAAGCATCAGTAGTATAGTTCCTATACTCAAAACAAAATGTATACAAAAATGCACTGCTAAATCAGACCACCTCAGTACCTTGGAGGATCAAGCTCAAGTAAGCTTTTCAAAACAGAAGTATCACATAAATCAATAGTCCTTTCTGATACTTTTGAGAGCTTTACAACTGTAGCTTAAAGGTTGCCTCTCCTCATTGCCTGGAATGATACCACCACAAAACCAACAGCACTTCTTTTTTACTTAAATGGACTTTCTATTACAGTATATATTTTTAAGTTTATTTAAAAAGAACTAGGTTCCTGAGGTCCATTTTAGCAATCTAGAAAGAAATGTCCATAAGCTCCGGGTTTTTCTTTTGTATACAGCCATACGATACAGAAAATACCCTTACTACAAACTGGTGTGTGTAACTTGTTTGTCCATATGACTGACTGGAGACATTAAGTATCATTTCATATTTACAGAGGGACCTTTTAATTTTGGAGATAGTGAGTTCAGTGACTTTTAATTACTAGTTGTACCAAACATTACCTCACTCTAGTTAAGCAATTGCTATTTCTACACTGTCAGTGGCACGAACCAAGCTACCTGGTGTATCCCTATTTTACCTATTTTAGCTCTCTTATTGATATGATTCAGTATTAAGTTTAAATTCTAAGGGTGAGCACACTATTGATTAACAAGGACATGTACAACAAACAACTGGCCAAAGAGCTGTGGTACCAGGAAAATACAAAGATACCTGCACTCACATTATATCACTGCTCAAAAATTTGTAAGAGGAAAATAATTGTAAGAAGCAGCTGTTCAGCCTGTGAATAAGAGTCAAGGAAATATTAGGCTGCAATAACCTGAGACCAGTCAGGCCCTTTCAGTCTGAACATGATGAATATTCAACATATTTTCACCTTATTTTTAAAAGCATGATATCTACTTCGACTCTTTAAAAGGAGAGTATTGTTCTAAAATATTTTTTATTAAATAAGTATTCTGGATATTTTCACAAAGTGAAATGCATAAGACTTAACCCTGCAAAGCTGCAAAGAGGAGGTGGGTCCCCAACTTTACTGAGCCAACCATCACCCTTCCTTAACTGTGTGCAACACAGAGTCCAAAGGAGCGTGCCTGACTGACTGTTCTTCCAATTTTAGGATGTCTGAGCAAAAGTTGGTGCAGACTCAAGGACAGTGAAACAGGCACTGATTGTAAACAGTTCCCAGGAGTCTCCCTCGTAAGCTAGGGATCCTCCCAGCATACAGGCACTCCAGTCAAAAAACTTGCTGGCCGTGGCCCATGAACTCAGTGATTTAGAGAATTGTTCATTAAAGTACCTTCTTCTCTTGCCTCACACAATGACTTGATTTTTTTCTACTACGATACAAATACCAATTACACGTTTTCACATAAATTTCTCAAAAGATGCACAGTAATTGAGAGAGAAAGAAGACTAGATACAAATGCCCTTGTTCATTTAGTAAGTTTATTGATCACAATTTTACAGTATACTAATTGGTATACGCTGTCAGCAAAAATGAAACTCTTACTAATATGCTTCATAGACTACAAAATAACCTATTATCGAAAGTTATGCTTTGAGCTAATTGGAGACAATGCAGGCAGGTATTAGGTAAAAATGAGCCTAAAAACCTGCAAGAAGCTCTCAACAGTAGAGAGACAGTAGGACACACTGCTTTAAAAAAAACCCACACCCACACCATCTCAAGATTGTTAAACGGAATACTGTGAAAATAAAAGGAATAATAATAAAAAGGAGGGATAAATTCTACCCATGCTGTTAGCCAGCTATTCCATTAACATGCATATTCCAACAAGGTAGGTGTTTCAAGACCATTTTAACCATTTCTAAAGACTCTAAAATGAGCCAATAAAATAGCTCAAACTTTGTTCATACATACATTTAATGATATTAATATTAGACCTACGGACAACACAAATCTAGAGCAAAAGCTATGGTTTAGAGCCTAAGAACCAGAAGTTCACCTTCCCTAAAACAAACCTAGCAAAGACAGCAACACTACAAGCTAACTCTTGTGTGCTGGTCACCGTAGTTTAACTCAGACTTGGGAGAAAAAGAACATATATGAGAGAGCCATCAAAAAGCCTGTTCCTTCCTTGGTGGTCTTGCTTAGATTGCTCACAAGGATGCTAGTTAAAATTTGTCTAGGGCTATGCATAATAGCAACATCAGTTTATTAATGTAAACTAGTGATGGCCAGTTATTTCCAAGTAAAGTATTTCAAATATCTACCTGGATTGTCTCAGGAAAGCTATAGCCCGATAACCAATGTCCTTTCTATAAATGGCACCCTTGAAGTGTATGGCTGCTACTCCCTTGTTGGCTTCTTGCAGTGCTGTCATTAGATCCTCTTTAATAGCAGTTACTGTCAGGACTCTTCCACCACTAGTCACCACTTTGCCATCCTTTAGGGACGTGCCTGCATGGAACACCTCCAATCCTAGTTGCTTAGCCTTAGAAAGTCCTGTGATAGTTGTTCAATAAAATAAATGCAGAAAAATCAGTTGATTAGAACATTCTCTATTAAATTACATATGAATAGATACTCAGCACTTATTGACTGTGTCTAGAAACCACAATCGAATTCAGTGTGATCATGCTGGGAAATAGGAGCAAATTTGTATAAACTACATTTTGAGGAGAGACAAGTCTGCTACTTTTATGCTCAGAGACACAGAAAGAGGTATTTTGCTGAAACATCTGCATACAACATTTAATTCAAGCTGGATTTAGAGACCACAAAACATATCAGCATCAACATTATGTAAGAATCAGTGATCAGCCCAGAACTTCTTTACTGTAACACATATTAAAGAAATGCTACAGAACTTAACAATATAGTGCGGAGATTTGATAATGCTACGGGTGCATTACCAATAAACTTTGACGTGTGAAAATCCAGTTGTCTCTTGCTGACCTGTAACCACAAGATCTAAAGTTTCTATGAATCTGAGTTACACTGATGCACCTTCACCTGGCAAAAGAGAGAATGGAGAGAGGGCAGGAGAGGAATCAGACTTCCACAGTTTCTCCTGCTATATTTACCTGTTATTTCCAAACCCTTGGGATATGTTCCTGGATACCCTTCGCTAGCCATGACCACCGTCACAGCTGCATTGTCTTCAAACCAAACTGGCATGGAACTAGACAACTTTTTATTGATAACCGCTTGCATAACTTCATACAAATCGCTTTTCAACAGTGGAAGAATTACCTACAAAAATACAGATTAGCAAATTAAAAAAACCAATGTACATTGTTACATTTTCTTCACTGAGCTTTTAAAAATACTAATGCAACTGTAAAAATAACATTAAGTAAGTATGTTCATATACTGTATTTTCACACATGTATACATACTGTGCATAATCTATGTACCTTTAAAAATAGTCTTTCTTGAAGATAATTTCTATGGGTAGAAGAATTGCTACATATGGGGAAAAAAAGGTAGACGACAAAGAAACCTATTTGGTCTGAAGAATGGAAATGAAGGGTTTTGTTCCACCTGTCAACAGGGAGTGGGGAAAAGAAGTGTTCACTCCTTTAATAAAGTAAAAAAAAAAATCCAACTCCATTCCAGAAAAGATAGGAAAGTGTTGAGTTTGACTCAAGCTTACCCTTGTAAAGCCCATATTTGAGTATAACCTGCTGAAATCTTCTCTGGAATGGAACAACTTCATAACAGACCTTCTGTCTTGAATAAAAAACCCAAATATTTTAAATCTCAGTGCAATTAGCTAATTATTCATCCAAAAGTTAGTTAAGAATAATGGTAGATGGTAACAGACTTTCTCCTCCCATAATGGCAAACTGTATCTACCTACAAAATAACTCACCTGACATTCTGGGTCACCAAATCTGCAGTTAAACTCTAGAACTTTAGGTCCATCTTTGGTAAGCATTAATCCAGCATAAAGCACACCTGGAATAAAAAATTATATAATAAGCTATCTAAGTAACAGCATAGGTCATTTATTTTGAATCTATTCATAATGGTGTTAAAAAGGATGCCTGCTGTGTTAATTTAAAGGTAGGATGTTAACACTTTAGAAATGTTAAAAATAAACTATATCCATTGCTTTCACTGGGCTCTAAATCAAGCCGCTGATACTAAACCCAGTTTCCAAATAGATCAAAGTTATCTTCCTTAACTTACAGTGTGAGTTAGGCCTATAAAGAGGACAAAGTAAAAAAACTGTCTTTCTCCTTATGCTTAAAAACCCCAAACTTCTGTACATACCAAAATAGGGGACACCTTCTTTCCTCATGCCATCAACAGTTTTCTGAAGAATTGTATCTCTTATTTTCTGCAGTAAATCTTTAGAAATCTAATAAAACAGGATTAGAAAACAGCGTTTGTAGAAAGTGAGTGCATGATTTTTCCTACTGTGATGGCTAGCGTTTTTAAGAGCCAAGCAGAACACTTGGATGGTCTCTTGCTCACTCCAAAACATTTCATACAACAGAAAGGTAATATTTTTTTCTGCTTCCTCAGACAACATACCAGAGCATTAAAACAACCATCTGCATTTCTTCAGACACTTTTCCATGCTTAGATCTACATGTGCAAGCAATCCCACTGGCTTCACTGGAACAAACCATTTGCACAGACATACTGGCATTTAGATAAGGCCTTCCAAAGACAAATCACGGTTGGAAAGTATAGTGATCAATGATCAAATTTTATTCAATACACAAGATTAATGGCTTTCTATACGAACAAAACCTATAATTTTTTTGAACTTAAAAAAGAAAAATCTCTGGCTATGACACAAGTGAATAGAAAGCAAAGTAAGTCCTTTTGCAAATAGTTCCTTGCCAAACTACCTTGAGGTACAGCAAGTGAACTAAGCTTATCATTAGCTTAGTTTGGCACAAGATAAAAATGTGGCTTTAAGCACTTAGTTCTAACAATCAGTATTTCATAACACTTAAAAACCAAATCAAAATGCAAGGTTGCAGAAATAACACTTCCACCTTTATAATTAAAAGTAATTCAGTAGAAATAGCCTCCTTTTTAGAGAAACAAATCCAAGTTATGGACGTCACTTGACTATGTCTGTTTTAGGCAACACTTTCCATTCACAAGAGACCATTGTCTTCACTCTCCTGTTCATCATGGTGGAACTAAAAATTCAGACATGCTTTCAGTACTAGAGCTGTAGTACAGCTTTAGTGAAACATCTCCTTGTCAATACATTTTTACCTGAGGTGCTGGGGAATAAGCTCCCATCCCTCCAGTGTTAGGGCCTTCATCTCCATCCATTAATCGCTTGTGGTCCTGGGCTGGAGGCATGGGAGCAATTGTGATGCCATCAGTGAAACATAAGCACTAGAAAACAAGGAGAATAATTTAAAGCCCAGTGTATAATTAAAATTAAAGCACAAAAAGTGCAAATATATTTGATTTTCAGTGGTGCAAACGGATATTTAAGAGTATAAATTCTGTCTCCCTGATCAAACAAACTACAGTATTCTAAACATTTCCCTTTTCCTTCAGGAAGCAGTGCCTCAGTTTATATGACTTTCCTACAGAAATTAACTTTCATATAACATATAGAAAACTATAACATAATATCAGTAGCTGTACTGAAAAGAAATACTCAAAAGGTTAAAAAAGAATTTAAAATACTCCATGATGGAAGCTACTTCTTCCCTCCCCCTTCTTCCCTCCTGCCCCTGAAAGAAGGCATTACATTCCTTTCAAGATTTCCTTTTCCTTGTTGATAAAACTATTTACTTTTGAATTATTTATAAATTACTTATATAGCAGATGCTTTTATCCTCAATATCTTCATAATAACAAGCCTTGTGGCATCTCCTGTAACTGGATGATGATGTTCGCTGTCTGGACTCCTGCTAGCAATACTCATAAAAACATTTTATAATGCTAATTAAAAAGCAAGCAAGGATTCCCCGACAAAACCCAAAAATGCCAAAATATTAATATATTAAAGACTACAGTAATTTGCAGAAGGTGAATTATTTTGACAGCCAAGGCAAGCAGTATTTTTTCTTCATTGTTGTCAGTCATCACAGGAAAAAACCCTTTCAACTGCGTGTTTATATTATTGTTATACTACACTAAGTCTGACGGTCTTCTAAGGACTAATTAAGAGCATTACATATTTTCCACCAGAGAATGAAGATCTGGATAACCCCTTAGTTCCTAAAAAGGTCAAGCCAACCAGGAAAGAATGAGGATGACCAATATCTGCACGTCTAATTTCTTCGTATTGGGCAGGAAACCAGACTATGCAAAGACTGGCAACAGTTGGAGATGATCACTTACTTTATAAATACCACCACCTCCAAGATGAACATTCACAACATCCAGCATAAGTCAATTCCAGCTCCAGGAGTCGGGAACCTGAGCTGGTACTTGGCTGTTCTACATTGTGTGATGCAAGTGTCAAGTTCCCTTGCCACCTCAAAACCTAGGCTCTAATTCTTCTTGTCCTTCACACTCTGCTAATTAAATCAGATATACTTTTTTAAACAAAGGAGCTGAATCAGCTTAAAACGAAGGAAATGTTCTCTCTACATCTGCAGAGTAAATCAACACTGTCAAATCATTCAACAGCCTTTGGTTCCGGATCCTTCGTCCCTGGGTACACTTCCACATTGCAATCTCTCTGGCAATGAAACTGGTTAAAGAGGATCCTGCCTGCACCTGTCTTGAGCTGATTGTTCCCTTGCTCCAAAGGAGTTTACTGCTCCCTCATGATGCAGTTCAAATATTCCCTTCATCAGCAAAGCTGATTAAAGAAAGTCTCCATCCTCCCTTACTCCCAATCACTCCTTGCCTTGCTCGGCACTTCACCATCCTATTACTTGTACTGATTCAAACGGCACTGGGCTCTAAACCAGAACACAGAAAACATGCAAGGTGGTGGTGTTGATTGCTTTGAGAAAAGGTCTTTATGTTGTAGCTTCACAAACAGTTACTATAACTGAATCAACAGCAAACAGCAGTGAAGAGGTAGCAATATGGAAGGGAAGGGACATCTTATACTGTCTTTGCTGTCAGAGAAATCATAACACAGAACTGCACACTCAATGACACTCCAAATATTTAAGGTTTGATTTTTTTTTCCATGTGGCAACATCTGATTACTGTTTGAGTTATTTTTATTTAATTTGAATTATTTTAACAGACTGCAGGAAGTTTGACTCTTAACAGAGCTGTCTTTAATTAATACAATTTTATTTATAAACAGATAATTGTTTTTAATTTAAGTAATAAAATCTTACACATCCCTGCTGTAGGTACTTACACAGTGTTTCCTAAATAGTTTAGAACAGATATAATCAAAGTGTTACAGTGAGATGCACACTTACAGAAACTTCTTCTCCTTCAAGAAGTTCTTCAACAACAACAGTTTCCCCAGCTGTGCCAAAAGTCTTATCCTACAGTAAAAACAAAATATCTTAGGTTCTGTTTCAGTTATTTTAAACTATTCAAAATGCAACAAGAAAAAATATTTTTAAAACAGCAAGAAAAATGCAGTACGGTTTTGAGACTATTAATCCATTCTCCACCCTGCGTATGTCAGCAATGGTAAAATCTTTGCTCCTCTTTTCTGTTTATTCTTAAATAAATGCAGATTTTATGCTTGAATATTTTTAAATTGCAGATGATATTTATAACTTACTGAGCAATTCCTCATGCTCTACCTTCTGAAGTTTGGACCCATGATACTGAGAGTAATAGCAACGACTGTCAAGTCTACAATCTTGTCCTGGTTTCGGCTGGG